AAATATCATTGCTTGTATACCTACAAAAGTGAGAGAAAAACAATTAACCTCAATGATATTTACATGATACGCAATATATACATTATAACGTAAACTATACAACATATGCACAAAAGTTGAGGTTTATTGGTTGAATTAAGCCAATAAATGTCAATTATTTACACTCAATATCACTATAATTTAGCACTTATCACTCATTTAAACTCATTTTTCCTCCCTCTTCACATCTCCCACATCTGAAAAACTCAAAAGAAAACAAAGAGAAATGCTTCAAAGAGAAAAATATCAAATTCACTCTTTTTTTATTCCATTATATAGTTGCTCAGGTATGTCAATCTAATTCAAAATCTATACATTGTATTTTAATGTTTAAAAAACATGAACCTTGTTGCAAAAACTCATTATCCTCATAGTTTAGAAATGGGTGGCTAAACCCCTTTTGTGTCAAGATTATAGGTAGTTAATTCTGATTTTATGTATTCCTTTTAATTTTTTGTATGTGAACAAAGCTTTGATCAATGTAGATGAAGTTATTTGCTATCTTTTCTTGTATTTATGGTTTGGATTGTTTTAGACATAAACTTTTCAAGTCTTGACCTAATTTCTTCATCTATCAACTAACAAACTCTAGACATAGATTTGGAAGTTGATATTTGCATTGTATTGATCTTAACGGTTATTGTTTCGGGTGTCATTTAGAGAGATTATTTAACGGCCGAAACAATAATATTCACGAAATCGCTTTAGAGATAAACGATTTTGCGAGGATACGCGATTATATTGGTTGAAACTAAGTTCACATCTTCGATTGATCGGATACATTTAAAAAGGATTAGTGAAACCTAATCTTGACATGATTTTTATCAAATAAAAACCAAATTTTATCTTGTCTTACTTCTTAAAAACTTATGTTACCAAATAGAAACCATTTGAAAACTCCATTTACTCAAGTCACTAAGATATTGAACGGTAAGCATCAAATATTCTCGACAATTCCTGCAGATACGATAAAACACTCTCCGAAATACTTTCTAACAATTGTCGCATTAAGGCTTCATAATGGTTTTATCAAACCTTCAACTCCTCGTCACTATGGGCCATCTTAGTAACAACGTCGGAAGCTTCTTGACGTCATTTTTTCACCGCCTCAAGGGAGGACTCCGCCTCAGCAACCTGGGAAGCAAAAGTAGCACAAAAGTCACATATATTTTCCTTTTCTTGCAAGGCTTTGACATGTTAGGCCTTCTCCTGCAACTCAGTTAGCTCCTTCTAGAAAGCGAGACACTTTTCCTTCATAGCTTCACACTCACCCTTCCAAGTGTCTCTCTCTTTGGATGTATTTCCAACAACCAAGATATCCACTCTGCCAACAGCGACCAGAGCGAATAGAGAACAAGCCTGATACATGTTGAAGTTTACCTTGGAGAGGAGCTCAATCTTCTCCACCTAAGATAAGTTTTGGACGAGGGACAAATCCTTCATCAATACAATAACAAAAACTTCCTCAAGAGTGCGGGAAACCCGTGAAGGAAACATGAAAGGCATCTGCAAGAAGGAAGTTATTTTTCTGAAGAAGTGTCGTCAGTTATATGAGTTTGCTTGGAGGAACCCTTATCTAAGGGGAGTCTTGGTTTTCATCCTGACCACTCTTATTGAAATATGGGAGAAAAGCATATCCTCCATGATCAAAACACCCCTAGCACCGACATGTCATTCGACCCCGGCGACATCGGTCCCTTTAATCCAAATGGGAGCATTGCTTGAAGAAGGATCAGTGGTTGCAGAAGGGGGCATCACGACCTGGCCGGTAGGGGCAGTTTTGAAGCCTTGGGTGATCGCATGGTCATATACCATCTTCAACATATCCATGTTATATGCAAAATTCAATCTCACATGTTAAAAAGCTTGTAGGACTCTGTCCTCACCAAAAATATATTTTTTCTCCTCCCGGATTATGGAACTATATATGGCATAAGTGTCAATTCGCTTCTTCCTCACTTCGAAAGAAGGCACCTCATCGAGGCCTAACTGTTCTTCGTAGATAAGTCTTTGAAACTAATAGCGTAGGTAATCCTTCATCGCCACCTCGTCAAGGGAAAGAAAACCTAACTTGGTGCCATAGAAATGGATGTTACAATGGAAGTGGGGCGATGACCAATACTTCAAGAATCACCCTTACAAAAACGAGAAAATCTGGCCAAGGAAGAGAAAAAAAAGGCAAGATGAGCCTCCAGAGTAAGGGGTTTTACCAGCATGAAACGCCTAATTAAATCGCCTCAATCGCATGTGAAATAGTCAAGCCAATGATCATTTGGGTGGAAACTAATGAGCCATTGGTCACAATAGTTTCCTTGAGAGGTGTGTACCATGTAGAATAAGTTGAGAATCAACTTAAGTGAAAGGTTTCAAGACTTATGCCCAGCACACAACTGAAGTATCTTATGCAAGCCTAAGACCTGTATGAATTTGAGAATGGGAAACCTTAAAATACTTCAGAACAACCACTTCAAAGTAAGAAAGTGGCAGCCGCAGTCATATCCTTGTGACCAAACACTTGTAAAACAAAACTGGGCAGCCATCAAAAGAGTTGCATATCCTCTTCTTCATACCCAAAGAAATAACCTACTAGTCTACAAGGTCATCGACCACGATGCCATCAACATCTATCGCTGCTCCAGTACTTAAAAAGGATGAGGTAGCCACCACTCATGTATCCACCCAAACATACTTAATTGTATTGGCTTACTCCATCAACACCACGCCTCTCTGGGCCAGGTAGTGGGCTTTAGAATGCTTGTCAAGTATGATATGTGAAACAAAATCGGGCATGCCCTAAGCTCTAAGTGAGTCATCACTTCAGCATTCCTCGGTTTACGGCTATTGGTTCTCAAGTAAAGTTGGATGAAATCATCAGTGTGTTCCCTCATCTGTTTGATAGCTTGCATTTTTTCCTCATTCTAAATATGAGGAGCATAGAGACCTCCCTAAGATTTCCCTCTTCACTGTCATATAATAAAAGAGCCTCAAGAGATTTAAGTGAATAAGCTTCTTCATTTAAGGAGTTCTCACATGCACTTTCTGAATAAGAATCGTCAGATATGGATATAACTTCTAGGACTTTACGATCATGAGTAGGGGATACCCTCATTTCCATAGCAAATAAAGCATCACTTTCAAAATCACTCACTGAGTGAACACTACGATCACTCATCTTGGCGAGAAAATAGAAAATGCTGAAAGAAAAAGCTTAAATTGAGATGGGTATCTGATTAGATGAGATTGACGAAGTGCAGTAAATAAGGAAAGGCAAAAACCTTGATCAAAAGGATATAACCGCTATGATAAATGCTTTCAAGAAAGAAAATACTAAGGCGTTTACTAATAAAGTGACTATGAGTAAGTTTGAATGCCAAGATTTGGAAAAGTTTTCTCAATGACCAATTCCTCCTATTTATAGGCGAAGACGGTTGAATGACCCAAATCAACAACAAAGAAGAGTTACGGGATTAACAATTGAATTTCTCCTTGGAAAAGTAAACAAACTCAAGTGCACTTAAGTGAACTATAAGTAGCAACATGCCCTAGCTAGTCACGTCAGCCCACTCGTTAGAAGGAAGCAATTAAACGATTCGATGATGAAAATGCATTTAAAGAACTTACTCCCCGCTACTTTTTCAACTGACTTCAAGCATTTCAATTCTAGTTTGCATAACATAACATCCTTGGAGGACGACCTTGATCACTAATGGCTTCCCCGACTTTCTAAGTGACCGGAAAGCCTTGGAGGACAGATGTTCTAGGCCGGCCAAATGCTTAAATAATCAAGGCTCACTTCAACTCAAATCCACTCCACTTGATCCAAGGTATAAAGTCAATTCACACAGAAAGTAAGGAACATTCTTCTGATCTCCACTTTTCACTACACTATCTTGAATTTGGAACTAACTTAAACATTAAAGTGATAATCTTGTCATCGTATCGAAGATCAGCACCATCAATTTATAATCCTTAATTTATTAGTTGCACGTACTTCTAATTCCACACACGCACACGTGCGCGCACTACACACTACATTAAGGCTTAGGGTAATATATATGTTCATATATGAGTTACTTTAAATATAGCAGTATACTCAATAGACATGAATATGATTGAAATGACATGATTACCATATATTTTATTAAGGCATAGGGTAATATATATATATATATATATATATATATATATATATATATATATATATATATATATATATATATATATATATATATATATATATATATATATATATATATATATATATATATATTCATATGTGAGTTTCTGAGAAGCAAAATAAATAGATGTTCCTAACAGTGGAGAGTTGATATTATATACAAGACTTTCAACTTGGATACTAAAGCCATCCAGTACATTGATAGCCCTAGAGTGATCAATTTCACGACATAAATCATCCTTTAAAATTTGATTTTAAGTAGCCATTGAGTGATCAATTTCATGACATAAATCATCTTTTAACATTTTAAATTTTAATAACAACTTGACCTCCAAAAAGTAAAAACTTAAAGTCCGTACCTAATTAACCCATACCCCCTAGTTATGCTCTTCCTCTAGCAACTTGGCAACAATTTAAAAGAAAAACATAAATTACAAAGCTAGCAAGCTTAATTTGATTGCATGATTGCATTGCATTCAGTGGTTAAAAATATTCAAATATTAATTAAAGTGGAATAATGCTGATTCCACCCTGATGTGCGTACATTTTTACTGGAAGCCAGTTAGCAATTATATTTTAATAATATGAAGATCCTTTTGAAGTAATATTTAATTACAACGTGTCTTAAAAATGTGTATATATATAGTGAGATTATGAAGGACACTCCTCACCATCAGCATCAACATATTTGCATGTGTTTTAGTGGTTGAGTTTGGAAGAATATTCATTTCTCTCCTCTCTTAATCCTCTAATTCTCGTGTAATTGTTGTTGTTGAAGTCAAAAATGGCAATCAGTCACAACACTTTAGCTTTAACCTTTGGCATGCTGGGTAACATCATTTCCTTCTTGGTTTTCTTGGCTCCAATGTAAGTATTCATTATTCTTATATAAGTTTCAATAATATATATTCTCACTAAAATAACATTTTGCAGATCAACATTTTATCGCATATACAAGAAGAAATCAACTGAGGGTTTTCAGTCACTACCTTATCTGGTGGCTTTGTTCAGTTCCATGCTTTGGCTATACTATGCATTACTCAAAAAAGATGCTTTTCTTCTCATTACTATCAACTCATTTGGGTGTGTTGTAGAAACCATCTACATCATATTGTATATCATTTATGCACCAAGAGATGCAAGGGTATATTAATATTACTTTATTATTATTTGTTTATCTAATAATTTAACATTGATTTTGATTTTAATTTATTGGTTACATATATATATATATGTAGAACTTAACTTTGAAGTTACTTTCCGCCATGAACGTGGGATCCTTTGCCTTGATTCTGTTAGTGGCAAACTACGCAGTGCACGGTTCGGTTCGTGTTCAAGTTCTCGGATGGATTTGTGTTTCTCTTTCTGTTAGTGTCTTTGCAGCACCACTAAGCATTGTGGTATGTAATTATTATAGTTAAAATTAATTAACTTATGAACATGATTAACGAAGCTAATGATTTTCTTGAATTTTTTATGTAGGCACAAGTTGTTAGGACAAAGAGCGTTGAGTTTATGCCTTTCAATCTGTCATTTACTCTCACATTGAGTGCTACAATGTGGTTTGGTTACGGTCTCTTCCTCAAGGATATATGCATTGCGGTGAGCGTGTTTTTAGATTACGGTTCTTGTCGAAATAATAGTCGAATTTTTATATAATTCTTGTATTTTTGTGTTTGGTTATTTTGTAGCTTCCAAATGTGTTGGGTTTCGGTCTGGGATTAGTTCAGATGTTGGTGTACGCGATTTACAGGAATCGCGGTGAAAAAGCGATTAAAAAGGAAAAGAAGATACCAATTGAGCCACTCAAAAGTATTGTTGTAGAGAGTAATGTCGAGAAAATTGAGCAAGAGAAGAAGAACAAGGGTGATGAGAAAAAGGATGAAACTGAGGATCCTATAGCTTGTGGAGTTTAAATGTGTTTAGTTATGCATATTTAATATCACATTGAATATGTGAGAAATACTGATTTTTCATAATGATATTCAGTGTAATGTCAAATATGCATTTAGTTAAATATGTTATTATTTCGTGAGCACTATAGTATAGCCACGATTTATATCTTTCTAGCTTTCATTTCATTTAGTTGTAGCTACATGCATGTGCTAGTTGATTATGTCTTTAAGCTTTTGCGATTCGATCTTGCATTGTAAATCTTGCCATTTATGAATTAATGAAGTTTCACTTGTTTCTTTTCAATTAATTATCTAAATTAATAGAAAATAACTATATCAACATTTGAAAAGTTGTGTTTGAAAATAGTTCCCAACAGCATGGAGCTCTGATTTTTTATAGGCAATTGAAAATAAGTTAAAGAGGAGTAAGAGGTACTCAACCCACACAAACCAATTTAAACACTATCTAAAGTGGGAAAAAAAATTAACAAAAAAAGCTCAACCCTTACTTAGATATACAAACCAAAAGTTTTGACACCAATCCAACCAACATGAAGGAGTCATCCTTTTATGCTTAGTAACAAACTAATGTCAAGACAAATCTCACCATCATCATTATATCAACCACACTCTTATGATCTCTTTTAAAAAGGGTCCAATTTCTACATAGTCAAATAGACCAACACACAAACAACCAAATTAAGATTAAAGTTCTTGTTAAGTCTTCCCTTCATAAGATGCCAAAATCACCTTAAGTTGTGCAACATCGAATCTATTTCGACCATTAAGATTAGTTCTATTATTTATTTATTTATTTATTTATTTATTTATTTATTTATTAACAAGAGTATGATTGTAAAATTTGCGGATAGACTTCTAAACTCGTACGAGTTTACATGTCTAAGAAGAAAAAACTAGTAGAATCACGCATAAAATCCATTGTTCAAGATGAATATGAATCATATGATGTAATAGTGGTTTCGAGCGGCAATTCTAACAAGGAATGGATCATGAGTTCAAGTTGCACTTAGCACATGACTCCAAACAAAGATGCGTTTTAGGAATCATTTATCACCAACAATTCCAAAATCTTTTACTTCATCATCCCATTTGATAGGAAATTTGTATGGGGCGCGCTCCTAATAATTGTTGCAGTATGCTAGCATTTTCCCTTATTTGTCCATTTTTTTTCATTGTTGGCCTCTTCACCGTTAGCCACGACATCAACCGCCTTAGACATATATTTTCTCTTTGAAGACTCTTCTCGATCCCTCTTTCTGCCTTTGGTGTATTTAGACAAGCGTCCTCTCTCTAAGTTGGATGTTATCGTTGTTGGTGTGGTTGTGTCTCTTGTGAAAACGACAATACTTTGTTTTATAAATCATTGAGAATTCTCTAAATGGGAAGGGGTTTTCGATTTGGGCCTTCCAAAACTCATTGTTTGCACATTATTGGTATTTTTTCTCCCAAAAAGTATTAAGGGGAGAACATTTTTCATACCAATTGTGGGTCCCATGGTCGAAATCTTCCCCCCACCTATTGGATTCCTTTCTGGATGGCTGGCTGGAACTTGTATCTATTAATGTCTATCTATATCCTTAGGCGCCCTATTCAGTAGCTCCTTCAGACTACGTGCTTCCATGGGCCCTAATTTCTCCCTAATAGAGCTATCATGCTATAGTGTGCTCTAAAAAATTTTACATTCGAGGCTCTCATCAGAGCCCTCCACTTCCACAACTACTTCTATGAAACACTTAAAGTAAAACTGCAGACTCTCCTTCTTCCCCTGTGTGATTCCACTGTGAGCAGCTATCATCATTGATTGCCTCTTCCAAGCCGTGAAGCATGCAATTAAGTTCTCTCGTAGATCGGTCTATGACTCGATGCTTTCGTCTGGAAAAGCATTGAGCTAGAGTCTAGTCGATCATATTCATGTTAGTGCGAAGAGCTTGCACATTGCACCTTCATCAGTGTGGTGACAATTCAAGTAGTCATACACGTGTTGCACATGTTCTTCAAGATCCCCATTTTCGTCGTACTCCTTTAGCTTTGAAGGTTTCTCCAACGACTTTGGAATCTGGTTGTCAAGAATGCCTGCACAAAAAGAATGTTTATTTTGGTTCTTTATTGGAGGCTTATCCACTTGTTCTTCATGAGGGGGAGCATGAATACCCTAGCCTCTTCTGAATTGTGAGGAGGAGTATGATGTAACTTGCTCCTTTAATTTATTCATAGATCTCATAGCCGCATCTCAGTGTGATGTGGTTGGCTCAGGGACGATCATACGACTCCTAGACGAGGCGACTTCCTGCACTAGTATTATGTTACCTATTTGATTCTCATTATGCAAGCTTTCTTCAAGGCGAGACAACCTTTATTTAACTGCTTGCGAGTTTGGATGTCGAAACATATTATACACCTTGTTCAATAGTTTGTTCAGGCCTCGCACGCATAGGTTAGCTTATAGTAACAGGATTCGTGCAACGTCTCTAGTTCCAATACCGTTGTTGGAATTATTGATTAAATCCTACAACTGAGGAAGGGTAATTTGGATCTGGATGTTTCAAAGTGATCATGATGACTTGATCAACACCGCTTTGAGATGGACACAATGGATCTCTTGTAGCTTGAGCAGCAACATCTGCCTCGCAAGGAGCAGCGGGTAAAGTGGCTCTAGAACCCGCCATTTTGTAATATTTGGATGTTACAGATTTGTGAAACTAATAATTAGATTGATCTACGATCAAAGTATATTGAAAATAGAGATCTAATGCTTGATGTTAAGGAATCTAAACTGCTAGACTGAAGAGGCTTAAGATCGATGAATTGAGAAATGAATATTTGATCCTTAAAATGTGAGAATCAGATGTCGATTCTCATAAAAGGTGGCAGTGTTCAGCAAGGGAAACAAAATTGATTGAAGATTGGAGGTTTGAGATAGAATAATAGACTAAAGCTTCTGAAGTGGTGAAAGAGGGACTGGCCTGAAAGGTTAGCAATCCAACGCTCAAATTAGTTTTTGAGTAAATTGAGTTAATGAAGTTTGAATTTGAATTGTACCTAAAAAGGGTGTGCTTCCTATTTATATAGTGGAATGTTTATAAAAACTCATTATACATTAGGCGTAAGATGCAGCGATATGTTGGACGGATCTTGGATATGGATCTCATGTGTTATAACCCATGATACTACCTCTAGACCATGAGTGACTAGGTGAATTACTTCCTTATTTGGGTTGTGGGCATTAGATCTTCTAACTAGATAAAAATAGACAAACACACATGCACACACACGCACACACACACACACACACACACGGAAAAAAAATCAAAACCCTCATCCTTTTGAGGATTTTAGGGGAAAAGGAAAACAATAGAAGTTTTTGGAGATTTGCATGTATTCTTGATTCAGAATCCATCTATCTCAAATGAGGACTTTGATAAATCATCACCTATTCTCTTTAAATTTCTTAAGAGAAACTCTTCAGATCACCTTTAGATAGTGTTCTGGACTGGGCCGGGACCTGCCCTTTAGCTGGGCAGGCCCAACCCAACACTATGCTGATGAGGCCCAGCAAGGCCCAATATCCCTCTGTCGAGCACGAGCCTCAACAAAGTATATATGTCGGGCAGACGACTCCCTTGACGGGGAGGCTCACACGCTTCCCCCATGTTTTCCACGTGCTCCCCCATGCGGGGACACGTCATCATGCAACTACCCACCTCGGAAAGAGTTGGTCAGCCCACCTTCCGAAGATCACGGGACAGTTGATCCAAGGCAAAGACCACATGTTGGTCTTCACTACGCCACGTAAGCCTTGATAGTTACTTGGGTTGGGCCTGGAAGTCTGGCCCAATAAAATGTAACCATTGGCCCTACGCTGGGGGCACACTATAAGTACCCTCTTTCACTAGAGGGTCGGGTAACTTCTTCTCCACACCTAATCTATGTGCTTGCTTTCTCTCTGATCATGTTATACCCCAAATTTTATCCTTAGATTCTTTGATCATTTGCATATCATCTTAAGTCATTCATCCATGCATAGCTAACCGTTTTAACCAGTTTATTTGTTTTGTTTTATGAAGTTAGGTTTGTTGTAGAGAGTTTCAAAGATCATCAGAGTTGTATGTGCGCGCTCATAGCCCCAGCCAACCACGGTTGAATTCCCGTGGATTTAAAAGAAGGATTTGCCTTTATTCTTATAGCCCTTTGGCAAATACAAGGTTTATGATCAATATGTTTGGAAATGGTGAATTTGGAAGAAAATCTTGAATCATAATTTATCAAAGTGAAGTTCATGTTCTTTATAAGAGTTAGAATTGATTCATTATTTCTACAATCTTCATGGTTCAAATTCAATTCAAGGTTGTTGTGCAAAGATACGGAAAAGAGTCATATGAAAAGAAAATTCTCCAAGCACAAGTTGATTACAAAAGGGTTCTAGAATCCATGATGAGGACTTCTAGCTAAAACTATCTCTCCATACTAAATTCAAGCGCAAAGAGTTTAATCCTAAGATTTTAAGATTCATATCTTTCACTAGATTCAAATTGAAATGTCAAAATCCAAATCCAAATGAACATTCAAGTTATAATTTCAAAGGAGCCCAAGATACCATTTCAAGGCCTTATTACAAGTCAAGTTTGGATACAAGGATTTAGAATTCAAGTGCTTAAGTTACGTTTCCTTTGTCTTATTTCAAAGGGAAAGAAGAAAAAGTCTTGAAGTTGAAAATGTGTTGTACGGACTCAAGCAAGCACCAAGAGCTTGGAATGTTCGAATCGACAAGTACTTTCGAGACAAGAACTTCATCAAGTGTCCATATGAGCATGCACTTTATATTAAAGCGCAAAGTGGAGATATTTTGATTGTGTGCTTATATGTTAATGACTTGATCTTCACTAGGAACAATCTAAGCATGTTCGAAGAGTTCAAAAAAGACATGTCAAATGAATTTGAGATGATGGATATAGGGCTCATGGCATATTATCTTGGCATTGAAGTAAAGAAAGAAGACAAAGGAATTTTTATCACTCGAGAAGGGTATGCAAAAGAAGTCCTTAAGAAGTTCAAGATGGATGATGTCAATCCGGTTGGCACCCTGATGGAATGTGGTAGCAAGTTGAGTAAGCATGAAAATGGAGACATTGTGGATCCAACTCTTTACAAAAGTTTGGTTGGAAGTCTACGTTACTTAACAAGTACAAGGCCGGATATTCTCTATGTTGTAGGAGTCGTAAGTCGCTACATGGAAGCTCCAACAACAACTCACTTCAAGGCGGCAAAGAGAATCCTTTGATCCATCAAAGGTACAACAAACGTTGGCTTACACTATTACTCTTCTAAAAATTATGATATTGTTGGCTATAGTGATAGCGATTGGAGTGGAGACTTGGACGATAGAAAAAGCACTATTGGTTTTGTATTCTTCATGGGAGATACTACTTTCACTTGGATGTCAAAAAAGCAACATATCGTCACACTGTCAACTTGTGAAGTCAATATGTTGCCGCTACATCATGCGTTTGCCATGCAATTTGGCTAAAAAAAGTTGAAAAAGTTAAAAATGCCACAAGAAAATCCTATGGAAATATGTGTTGACAATAAATATGCACTTGCTTTGGCAAAGAATCATGTATTTCATGAAAGAAGTAAGCACATCAACACCTGTTACCACTTCATAAGAGAATGCATCGAGAAGAAGGATGTGATGTCTCGAGATCAAGTTGCCGACATTTTCACCAAGCCACTCAAGTTGAAAACTTTCGTGAAGCTAAGGAGTATGTTTGGAGTCACAAATCAAGTTTAAAGGGAGATGTTGAAAGATTAAACTTGATTTGCGCCTAAACATATTATTTGAATTTTTGACTTTAATTATTTTAGGCTTAGATGATTTTAATTAATGTTTTTGAAAAATTCTTATAATATTTGAAGTGTCTAAATATTTATCAGGTAATTACAGTATCAATACATATCAATTAATCTCTAAAACATGCCCATTATTTGAGGTTAAGGTGAGATACTCAACTTTGAAGATAAGAATACTTGGATAGAATTAGATAGCACGTTTGACTTGGTAAATGAAATTTCTTCCACACTCCAATGTGACCCCATTCATTTATAATTAGCTAGAAAGCGCGTCTATGCTACTCATCTCTTAAGCTCATATCTATCCTATCATCAATGGCTGACAGTAACACACTTAAACAAAAACTGGCAGAGACGATAGAGCTCGCAGACAAAGTAACCAACACACACGAGCCAACCATTCCTTTCAAACAAGAATTCGGGGAGCTCAAATCCAAAACGATCAAACTCTCCTCTCTACTCCGGCAAGCATCGGCCGCAGCTTCCGAACTCTACATGCAACGTCCGATGTGGTCGATCGTCCAGCAAACCGAACATGTACTCTATAAAGCTCTTTTGTTGGTCATCAAGTGCCGCCCAGATAATATCAAGAAACGCATCTTCACCATCATCCCAGTTTCAGCTTTCCGAAAAACATCTTCCCGACTTGAAAACTCCATCGGCGACTTTACATGGCTCCTACGCATCTCCAACCCTGGCGGAGATCACGGCAGCGAGTATGATACTCATATCCTTCCTTCTGTAGCTTTCAACGATCCAATCATTGGCTTAATTTGGGAACTGATCGCTAGTCTGTGTACGGGCTCACAGGAGGATCGTTCGGATGCAGCAGCTTGCCTTGTGTCACTCGCACATGAAAGTGATCGTTACGGGAAAATGATAATTGAGGAAGGAGGAGTGGGACCACTGTTGAAGCTGATGGAGGAAGGGAACTCAGAAGGCAAAAATAATGCTGCAAAAGCCATTCGTCTCCTCAAAGTCATCAACTCCGTCGTCATACTCATCACCAGTGCCTCTATGCGGACGCCAGATTTAAGTGCCTTAACTTATTTTTAATAATAGAAATATTGAAAGTAGTTAATAAATTATACGTAAAATAATTGGCTAATAATGTAGATTTTTGTAGTTAATGCAACTGTGAAATTGGTTAATGCGCAATCTTATATTTGTGTTATAAAATAAATTTTAAAAATAAATATTTTTTTAAAAAAAATTAATATTTTAAAAATATATATTATTTTAATAAAAAAAACACTGTTCACCATATAAATACGGTGAATAGTGGATACGGTGTAAGTATTAGGTGTAGAAAAGGGTATAAGAATAGCATTTTTCTAATAGAAATAATAACACAAAAACATGTTTAGTAGCTTTAAAAATCAATATTTAATAACAATAGAAATAACTATTTAAAAATCAAAAAAAAAAAAAAATCTGTATATACATAAAGCATGGTGGTCGTAAATATTTTGAAGATTTTGTTTTAATATTTAAAATTAGCTTCTAATAAAAATATACAATTTTTACTAATAAGATATCGGTTATTTAAGTTATATATATCATCATTACTATAAAAATGTTCAGTTTTATAAATAACATAAGAATGAGATTTCTTCTATTTTACGAAATTTTGGCCTCTTTTTAGGAATGAAATTTATACTGCTTTTTAGCAATTTTATCAGTTTTCTTTTCTTTCTTATGATTTTTCTTCTTTCTTTGTGACCTTGATTTGTAAGGTTGATTCTCCTTCTGGGTTAGGAGATTTTAGGCCTACTTATTTGGAAAGGTCGTTTTATAAGTTTCTAGCTAAAGTTTTGATAAAAATGCTATCTAATGTTATGGATAAGTTTATCTGTTTTAACCAACCAACCTTCCTTAAGGGCATATTTTTAGTTAATGGGATTGTTGCTAGGAATGAGTTGGTGAGTTTAATTTCTCCTTTTTTTAAGAGGTTTTGGCCTCTTCTTAAAGATGAGATTGAGACTATATTTCAGCAATTACATTAGTTTTCTTCTCATCCTCAATGAATTTCTTCTTTCTTTGTGACTTTGTCCCTTAAGGTTAATTCTCCTTCTCAGTTAGGAGATTTTCATTTTATTTCTTTGGTAGGGTCGCTTTATAAGCTCCTAGCTAAAGTTTTGGTATGGAGACTTTTTGGTGTCATGGATAAACTTATCTCTTTGAACCAGTTAGCCTTCCTTAAGGACATGTTCCTAGTTGACGGGGTTGTTGTTGTGAATGAGTTTGTGGACCTAATGAAAAAAGAGTAGAAAAACCTTATATCATTTTTGTTTTGGAGTGGGCTCAGACCTGCCCATCCGTCGGACAGACCCAACCCAGCATTTTGTGGGGAATGCTCAACAAGGCCCAAATCCCCCACGTCGGGCACGAATCTAGATATGCCGAGCAGACACTTCCCCTGTCAGGCAAAACCACACGTCTTCCACACGTTTTCCATGTGCTCCCCCCCCCCTCAGGGACACGTCATCAGGCAACTATCCACCTCCGAAAGAGCTGGTCAGCCCACCTTTCAGAGATCACGAGACAGTTGAACTAGGGCGAAGACCATGTGCTGGTCTTCACTACGCCACGTAAGCCCTAGAAATTAATTGGGTTGGGCCTGACAATCTAGCCCAACACAAGTGACTGTTGGCTCTGCGTTGGGGTCTCACTATAAATACCCTCTTTCACTAGAGGGTCAGGTATTCATCTTCTACACCTAATTTATGTATTTGCTCCCACTCTGATTCTTTACTCACTTAAGCATCGGAGTGTCTTGCAAGTACACCCCCCTCCTTCTCCCTACCTCCGGTGAACAGCTATCAGCCGACGATGCGTGGCCAGTCAACAATCTCTTCTGATCAGGTACGATCAGTGGCGCCGTGTGTGGGAACGTGAAGCTTCCTCGTTCTTTCGAACAGTAGAACCAAACATTTCCTCAACTTCAATTTCTGAGATCATGACCAGCCCACACCACAACGATGTTATCCATAATTCCACTTTCGTCCCACTCACCAACGGCGAGGACCAGGTTGGGCCCTCTCACATCCGTTATGGCAGGAGGGACGGGAAGATTGCATCCCCTTCATCCGAGGACGCGGCACACCACGTCGCCCCTCGGGCAAGGAGCCCGACTGCTTTTCAGCCCGTCCCCACACCAGCAGGGGCGGACCCGACGATGACTGCCCTCTTTGCAGCCATCAACCAGACTAATCAGATGTTGTTCCAACAGAACAGGCACATCGGGATACTGGAACAGGATATCTCATCTCGCTCTCCCCCGTGGAGAAACTAACGCGAGGATTCCTGGAGCCTCACTCCTTGTCAACGGGGGCGCCGACCACAGTTGGAGAAATCACACATTTCTCAGTAAATTCGATCATAATGACTAGAATCATCTTCTTCGGCTGAAATCATATGATTAATCCTAGCAACAGCAGCATCATGTTTTGCATTCATATCATTGCGCATAGACACAAGACTTTTTGTCGCATAGGAAGCAAATCCTTCAAAATTAGCATCTTGTGTAGCCATGCGTTCTTGCATCAGAGGAAATATCTCCAATTGAGAAGCCTTAAAAACATCTCACCTCCTACAATCTTCTGCATAGCACTCATCTTGCCTCAGCTGCATGTTCTGAAGCATAGTCATGATAGCAGACGAATCACCAAAACCAGCACCAGAAGTATCACCAGGGGCATCTGTATGAGTGACATATTGCATAAAAGCATCATCATCAGGAACATCATGAGAAACGCCAACTAGTTGATCATCAATCATATGTGTCTCAGCAGTATCATCCTCAAGCTTTGCAGGATCATGAAACTTATAAATTTTCCTACCGTGCTTACATATATGGAAGCAGTACGCTCGACGGTTAATATCCTAAACTTTATCACTGTCTCGACTGATTCATCTAGCTTGGTGAACCAGGTTTTATTGTTAGTCATGTGGTTACTGCATCCTGAACCCAGGTACCACATCTTGGTTTGCTCAATGTTCAATTGAGTGTAGACCATGAGTAGCACATCATCAGAATCATTATCTTCAACATGTGCATAATGCACTTTATCACAATCTTTTACTCGTGCTTCCTTCTTTCTTCGATAGTCTTGAGCATAATGGTCAAATCCTTGACGGTTGTAACAATGCACCTCCTTCATCTCAACTTTCTTCCCATAATACTTATTGCCCATGTCTTTCTTGATCAAGTCAGAGTGATTCTTTGAATTCTTGCTTGATTTTTCATCATTAGCAAGATTCTTTCCTTTCTCTTTCACAGATTACTTGGTTAATCTTGTTTGTAATGCTTGTTCAGTCACCTTCTCCCTTTTTGAGTTCCTATGTCTTAGCCTCATCTCATGAGCCTCTAATGAAGCCTAAAGTTCTTCTAACTTCATCTCAGTTAGGTTCTTCGACTTTTTAATTGACACTAATGTAATCAAATTTTACATTCAGAAATCTTAACATTTTTTCAATCTTCTGCAAATCGTTGATTGATTCACCACATGACTTCATCTGGTTCATTAGCAACATTACACGTGAAAAATATATGTTGTATTCGACTTCGTTAAATACATCTGACTCTTAAACTTCAACTAACTGCTTCGACTCAGTCAAATACTAACTTTCAATCAGAATATCAAATTACAACTTCTAACCATATATAACTAGTAGATGTGTGACTTACAAAAACTATATATTAAATGAAGCATCCATTGATTAACTTTCAAATTCTTTAACAAACACTATTTTATCTTTTGGGCTTAGAATATGGCTGCTAGTTGTTATGATATGCAGTGGTATGTAAGCTCCTTGGACCCTAGTGTTCCATCATACATTACATCTATGAATATTGTAACCCATCTTAGAAGAATCATAAAAGGACAACAACTATATCAAACAATAATCCTTCATTCTATTTTCTAACTCTTAAATGACAACCGAATAAAAGCTATTTAAACTCTACATGGCTTCATATTAGAAGAAGTAAACACATAATTAAATAGCAATTATTATTGATCTATCAAATACTCAACCGGCCATGACATCAAAACAACCCAACCAACTTAAAAACATGTACTAATTTGTATTTATATGGTTTTGTTCATTATTTAAGCTTATCTTATACATACATAGATATTCATTTGTTATATATATATATATATATATATATATATATATATATATATATATATATATATATATATATATATATATATATATATATATATATATATATATATATATATATATATATATATATATATATATATATATATATATATATATATATATATATATATATATATATATATATATATATATATATATATATATATATATATATATATATATATATATATATATATATATATTTGTTTTATTAAATGGAGTAAAGTCAACCCTAAAATTATCATTATTGATTTAGATTATACATGATGTGATTAGAATTTTAAAATAATGATTATTTTGTTGGTGGGAGGGAAGATGTATTTTTCCATAGACACAAATAGGAAAAGAGAGACAAAATTTGAATAGGGCAAACCATGGATCACACGTTTATTAATTTCAACATTTGATCATTATATTCCATAATCACTACTTACAATGGAAAGAAATTAACACAAGACTAACTACACTAGATATATATGGAAAACTAATTCAACAAAACATAATTATATCTTTATATAGATATTTATGAGTTTAAAATAACCTAAAATTTGCGAGAAAACTCTAGGTTATCAAAACTCTTTTTTGGGAGAATCAAATAGATAATATTAAAATGATGATCAGAAATCGTTTAAGATGATCATTCGGGAAGGACTAAGAAGCTGATAAGATGAACGAGAGCGGTTTCCACCAAAAGTACAACCTTGAGGAGGAGTTTCATTGTCCATTTCCATCAACACTTTGTAAAAAACATCAACATTACAAGGAAGAGTCAAAGGTCCTTGACAACTATAACCATATTCTAATTCAGCTTCTTCAAGCAACATCTTGAACAAAGGATGGTTACAATACTCGGTTTTTATCACAAACCTTTGCATTTGAGGTCCAACGTACACGGAAAAGCATCCTTCTGGTGCAACTTTCTTACCTATTTTGATTTCCTCGCCTAATAGATTAGGCCACGATTTACTCCTTTTTGTCGTTGGAGTCACTGAGGATGAGGATGGATATTTAATCTTTACCCCTCCTAGTCCTATCGACTTGCATCTCTCCCATGTTTTCGTGATGATGCCCACTTTCTTGCTCTCATGCTTCATGCTCTTGCCAATATTATCCATTTTTGTCTCTTCTTTTATTTGAAAATTAAAAAGATATATGGAATTGAATAGAAAAAAAGATGGAAATAAAGAGAAGAGTGTGTGAGTGTGTCAACCCCTATCATAAACCAAATTAAACATGAGTTTGCTCCTTGGCATCATTGTGTTGCTCATAACTATATATACAAATTCAAAAACGTACACAACACTTGGTTATTATGAGCACAAGCATGAGAAAGTTGACAATATAGAAAAAAGTTCAGAAGATCATAAATTCAATTTAAAGAAGAAGAAGAAGAAGCTAACGTTTGTACTTAATTTAAATTACCTACCTTGGACATTTCCATCACCTATTACACCCTGCTTTAAATAGATAACTATATAGATTAGAAGGGTTTCTTTATATATAAATATATATATTATTTCTTACCATCTAGTGGATTAATAATTCATTGCAATTTGTCAACGTTGCATTTTTCTTTTCTTCAATTATTATTATTATTATTATTATTATTATTATTATTATTATTATTATTATTATTATTATTATTATTATTATTATTATTAATTTAATTGATATGCACTGACACTTAAAATTATTTTATACTGTCAATCAATCATCATCATGTATCTCGCCACATCAGACTGTAAATTTTAAGTTAACTATATGACAGAGCAGATTAATATATTTCTATTGAATGACTATGTAAAATTATTTTAATACCAATTAAATTCTATTATTATTATTATTATTATTATTATTATTATTATTATTATTATTATTATTATTATTATTATTATTATTATTATTATTATTATTATTATTATTTGTCTTTCTCAACAAATGAAAATTGGACAACATCATATATTTTACTTGGTCCACGCTTGTGTGTATATTTTTTTATCTTCTGTTTGTTTTATATGAAAGAAAAAAGTTTAAACTATTCTAGTATGAGAAGGTTGTTGAAAATAATAACAAAAGTATAAAGTAAAGTCTTACAAGGAAGAAAGGATTAAAGATTTGACTATCAATAATGCAAGTTAATGAGTCTATTACAAGTAAATTAGATAGCTTGAAAAAAAAACTATCAACAAGTGGACAATTGAAAAAAAAAATTTAATGAAATTGAAGAGAAATTCTTTTTGATTTATAACATTACATATTGTTGTTGACAAAATGTGTTGATCTTAAAGACGGGTGAAGGACAAGTTGAGTATTGTAAAATTGAAGAAAATTGATTGCAAGAATTTTATTTCTTGAATGCAATTAGCATATTAATTTTGAGTCGTGATGAGATCCATATGTTAAGATATTTTAAAATATTTTTAATCAATTTTAATTTTATTTTTAGGAGAAAAAAGTAATAAAAGAATATTTAAAATGATTAACATTCATAATTACAGGTAGATTCTACATATTTATATTATTTATCACTAATAAAAAAAATTTTACATGTATTCGAATCTTAAGATTAGATTGTCGATTGAAGTCAATCCATGTATGCAATGTAAGAACAAGTTTGGTTCTACGTCTACGATTCTTAAATTTTTATGATAATAAAATATAAAGAACAATTTTATATTTTAATAATTTGTTGAATGTGCAGAATCTGAACAAGTCAGATACTGGATAAAACAGACTCTAAACAAGCTAGATACTGAATATATAGCAGACTCGGAATAAGTCAGACGCTGATTAAAAGGGAACAAAATAGATTCTAAACTCTGGATAAGAAAGACTCTAGACTCTGGACTATGGACATCATCATATTCTAAACCCAAGATAGAATACGAAGAAGTGCTAAACTTAAAGTCAACCTCTGGATATCTCAATCAACGCTTCTGAAGTAAACAACTCATATGTACTATGATAATTCCAAGTCTCATTTTCTCTAGACTCTAAAGTCTAATTACTAATGCTTTGAACTCTGATCAAGGTTCATTTCTCTTATATACGAAGCCAATGATTTAGAGAAAAGACTGAATGAATATTCTAGAGTATAATACAATTTGAGCGAAAAAATCAAAAGGACAGATACACTGATATTTCCAAGGATTATACTATCAAATGACTATCAAAGATTTTCTCTTCACTATCCACGATTTATGGCTCATCCTCATACCAACTATTACAGTTGTGGATTTGAAGAATTTCCAATTCTACCCTCCGACAATCTTCATCTATATAAAAAGGACAAAGGAATTATGAAAATATAGCATTGAGACGACAAACTTCATGTTGAAAGAATTTCAATAGAGAAAATCAATGTTGAGAAAAAGAAAATAGAGAAAATTACTTAGAACTTCATTGTATATATTCTTAAGTGTAAAGTTTGATTATCACTTTATGTATCTTCTTATTTATAAGCAATTTTGTAAACACAAATCTTGTATTTAAGAGTTGTTAAATTCCTTAAGGGGCTAGCTTTTAGTCAGAAGTCATTGACGGGTAGTCTTTGAGTTGTAACTCCTTAATGGACTAAGTGTAGTTAGAATTTTTGAGAAGTCATTGACGGGTAGTCTTTGAGATTGCAATCAGTTTGGTTATTGGATTAAGTCTTTTTGAGAAGGAAAAATGACTCTAGTGAGTGGACTGGATTAACCTATCTAACCGCGAACTAGGATAAAAATACCTTGTCATTTTTATCATTGTTGTTATTGTTTTGGAATAACAAAAAACTCTCATATTTAAAACCCAATTCAATCCCTCATTCCTTTAGTTTCCTAAACCTTCACGCAAGAAATTATCAAGAAGCAATATGAGTAAGGAAAGATCCTGAAATTCAAAGATTCATGTCTAGAGATCATTTATACACCGCAAGAGAGTGTGGCACTGCAACGTCTTTTCCATGCAGTGGAGGCATTATGGCATCAATTTTTCTGACATTTTAAACCTTGAAGCCAATACGTGGAGATTGTTCTAGCATGGTGGACAAGTAACTTCAAGCACAAGAGGGGGTGAGTTGTGGTATTTAAAACTCGGGATTACTTTTATACTTTTTTCGATTAAGTTCGTGTTAATAGTTTCTGTAAGATTAAATGGAAATAGATATAAAAACAAATGATAAATAGTAGAAAATAAATAGGGTAAGGGTTTGAGAGATCGCATCAGAGAGTTATCCAGGCTTGGCCGAGCATTGGCCTAGTCATGTCCCTAAGAGATCTTCTTGAGATTTTGACTAAAATTTTGAGCTTTTACAGGTTATGCTCACGAACCTTTGATACAAGTTGATCTTTACAATGGCCTGTCTACAATCTAATAAGAGGCTTTAACCTAAGTTAAAATAACAATCAAAATAGAGATTTTCTATGCTAATCTCTAGAACCAAAAAGAGTTTTTAAGATTGGTTAATCTCAATAACTAAACTCTATTCTTCAAGAGTATGACACTCTTTAAAGTAATCACAAGGGAAATTCACTCAAACAAGTTATTCCTCACAAGTAGTGTTCACTCAAAATCACCAACATGGAAGTTTGGTATATAGTTGTTATCAGTCATTAAGATATTATCCTAATCAAGTGATTAATCATTTGGGCCTCTTAAAATTGATTGGCTTAAAGTCCAAATCGATTAGTCAGTTCAAGAAATCTTCCAATTGATTGTCTTAAGGTCTTACTCAATTGGGTAGTTCAAAAGTATCTTCCAATGGATTATTTTAAGGTCCTAATTGATTGGTTTCAAAAATGCTTCAAAGAGAGGGCCGACACTATCTTAATCACTTGGCTCAAGTTTGAAAACATTTTTAAGATATTTGATACATAAAAAAAGTTTTCAAGTGTGTGTGTGTGTGTGTGTGTGTGCGCGTGTGTTTGTGTGTGTCTGTGTGTCTGTGTGTGTGTCTGTGTGTGTGTGCGAGAGAGGAAGAGAGAGATAGAGATATAGAGAGAGAGTAGCCTTAGTATCTTAGGAGTTACTTTCTTACTTTACAAAACTCTGTCCACTCAGACAGACACGACCAAACGAGCTTTCACACTTCCTCTCTTTCACAACTCTGAGTCCTTCAATATTATTTTCCATATACATTGATCATATAAGCATTTCAATGAAGCATTGATTCTCCTACTAGATGAGGCATGAGATGTCCTTAAGTTTGGTCACCATTATCAGAGAGTTGGAAAACCATTACCACCGACTTTATCGACTTCAACAGTCATTGGTATTGTCCTCATCAAAACAGTAGGAAGGTTATTAGTATCATCGTCAACTTTATACCTGCAAGCACATAGATCCACATAGCGCGTTGTGATCTTTAATGCACTGCAGTTTATTTTGGACTATTTTTCACTGCTTTTTTCAATCCTAAAATTCCATGATCACACTAATACAAAAAACCCCTTTTACCTCAGTTGGAAAAGGGGTTTTACCTCGGTTTCATATGTGAGGTAATGAATGACACCATACAAACTCGCCACTTTTCCCCTCGGGTAAAGTTTCATTGAGAGAAAAATTGTACTAGTCATGGGTTTGATCCCCAACAACATCATTTTTGTATTTTAAAAACTACAAAGCTCGTGTCACTATACGTCTCAGTTACTGGTAATATCTGAGGTGAAAAGTGTGTATTTACCTCAATTTGAATTTCAAGCCGATGAAGAAAACATTTTTTGTCAAATATAATATGTTTTAAATTTTATTTTGACCTGTATTTTTTAGACATAACCTATATACACATTTTGTGATAGAATCTATATACACATCTATAATAAAACCAGAGAATTTTATTTTATATATACCAAATTACATTGTTTACAAAATATGCAGCATAACCTAATATACACATATCCAAAATCGCATACCAAAATAACCTATATACATATTTAATAACATAACTAAAAAGACAACACCAGATACATATGTGTAACATGTTAGATTTTGTTATTACCAAAGGTATATCTACTCATATAGAGATCAAGAACACAATCCTGGTCTAATACCTTTGAGTTCATATCCCATGAACTCATATCCTTAGAACTCATACCCGAATACAATATGATAATGAAAGTGGATACGTACCTGATTT